TGCTATTACACCCGGCTTATTTTTTTTGATTTATTGTGGAGATGAGGGCTCACCAAGTTGCCCAGGCAAGTCTCGAACCCGCAGGCTCACTCACCTCCGCCTCTCAAAACATTTTCCGGACTAACTTCTGTACAATTCTTTGCATCTTTCATGCGGCATTGGATAGCGCCTTCGACACCCATACCCCCAGCAGGCCTGCCCTAACATTCTGGAGGCCCTCCTGGGAGAGTGTGACCCTAACATTTTTGGAGGTACCACTGAGATCTGCCGCTCTTTCGCTCTCTGTCATTTTCCTCTTCCACTGAGAACTGCTGCTCTCTGTCTCCTCTCCAAAAGCCCTTAAGTGTACTCATTTTGGCCGGGCTCAGTGGCTCACCCTGTAATCCAGCACTTTGGGAGACTGAGGCGAGTGGTTTGCCTGAGCCCGCGGGTTCGAGACCCACCTGGGCAACTTGGCAAGCCCTCATCTCTACAATAAATCAAAAACTACCAGGGCGTGGTAGCGCGTGCTTGTAGTTCCGGCTACCTGGAAGGCTGAGGCAGAAGCCTCACCGGAGCCCAGCAGGTCGAGGTTGCGGTGGCTGGGAGCGGCCACTGCACTCCAGTCTGTGTGACAGAGTGAGACTCCAACTCAAAAAAAAAAAAAAAAAAAAAAGGGGCCCAAGACGGGCTCAGTGGCTCAGCCTGTAATCCCGCGCCTTTGGGAGGCTGAGGTGAGTGGATTGCCTTAGCCCGTGGGTTCGAGACCCGCCTTGGCAGCGAGACCTCATCTCTACAATAAATGAAAAAATCAGCCGGGCGTGGTGGTGTATATCTGTAGTTCCAGCTACTTGGAAGGCTGAGGCGGAAGGATCGCCAGAGCCCAGCAGGTCGAGGCTGCGGTGGCCGGGAGCGGCCACTGCACTCCAGTCTGGGCAACAGAGTGAGACTCCAACTCAAAAAAAAAAAAAAATGGGACCCATGTGGTCTTCCTTGATATACCAAACCTTCTGAGATGGCATAGGTGGTAAGGGTGCTTGTGCATGGGGATTGGTAGCTGAGATGAAAGAGTCAGAGGTAGGCTTTCCAATATTAGCCTTCTAAAAGTATTTCTCTGCAAAGTGACTTGGCCAATCTTGAACATAAATTTCTAGATCTTCTTGAGAGGTGGTTGGGTGCCCTTTCCCACAAACTGTTCGGATGTGCTGTTTACACTCAATAAATTCTGTCTTTCTTTGCAAACAAATTTGTGTTTGTGCATGTGTGTTTGTGCTGGACCAAGGTCTTTATCTTTGAACTTTTCCCCTCCTGCATGTTACTTAAAAACAGCAGCAGCAACAAAAAAGATAGAACATTACTATATTAATGAAGTGGTTCAATAAGTAATCTAGACAATACAGAGTCAGTTTCACTTACATTTATATAACTTCAGTTTACAAAGCAATTTCATCTTATCTCATTGATCTATGAAGTAAGAATTGGCTGGGCTCGGTGACTGAGCCTGTAATCCCAGCACTTTGGGAGGCTGAGGAAAGTAGATTGCCTAAACTTGTGGTTAGAGACCAGTCCGGACAATCGGCGAGGTCTCATCTCTACAGTAAATGAAAAAATTAGCTGGGTGTGGTGGCATATGCCTGTAGTTTCGGGTACTTGGAAGGCTGAGGTGGAAGGATCACCAGAGCCCAGCAGGTCGATGCTGGGGTGGCCATGCGTGTCCCACTGTACTCCAGCCTGGGCAATGGAGTGAGACTCCAACGCAAAAAAAAAAGCACTCAAACTCTAATTTTATTTATTTATTTATTGAGTTGGAGTCTCACTCTGTCGCTCAGACTGGAGTGCAGTGGCCGCTCTGGCCACCATAGCCTCGACCTGCTGGGTGCCAGCGATCCTTTCGCCTCAGCCTTTCAGTAGCTGAAACTACAGGGGTGCGTTACCACACCCAGCTAATTTTTTTTTTTTGAGTTGGAGTCTCACTCTGTTGCCCAGACTGGAGTGCAGTGGCCGCTCCCGGCCACCGCAGCCTCGACCTGCTGGGCTCCGGCAATCCTTCCGCCTTAACCTTCCAAGTAGCCGAAATTACAGGTATGCGCTACCATGCCCAGCTGATTTTTTGATTTATTGTAGAGATGAGGTCTCGCTGCCCAGGCGCGTCTCGAACCTACGGGCTCAGGCAATCCACTCACCTCAGCCTCCCAAAGGCGTGGGATTACAGGCTGAGCCACCGAGCCTGGCTTTATTTTTTTTATTTACTGTAGTGACGAGGTCTCCCCAACTTCTCCGGACTGGTCTGGAACCCACGGGCTCAGGTGATCTACTCACCTTGGCCTCCAAAAGTACTGGAATTACAGGCTTGAGCCACCATGCCCGGCCTAGTGAAGCTGTTTAATGTATTTCTTTTTAATGTATTTACACTAACTCTTACCTAGATTGAGAGGTGACAGTAATTATTCTGTTCTGCTCCGTTAGGTAAACATTTTTTTTTTTGGTTTGGAGGGTCTCACTCTGTCATCCATGCTGGAGTGCAGTAGCATGATTATGGCTCACCACAGTGTAGAACTGCTTGTGTCAAGCAATACTTCTGCCTCAGTCTCCTGCAGAGCTGGGTCTACAGGTGTGTACCACCATGCCCTGTTAAATTTTTTGATTATTTGTAGAGATGAGATCTTGGTATGTTACCCAGGCCCATCTCCAACTCTTGGGCTTCAGTGATCCTCCCGCCTCAGCCTCCCTAAGTGCTGGCATTATAGGCATGACCTAGTGCACCTGCCTAGTGAACTTTTTTTTTAAATTATAAAGATGTGGGAGCCGGGCTCGGTGGCTCAGCCTGTAATTCCGCGCCTTTGGGAGGCTGAGGTGAGTGGATTGCCTGAGCCCGCGGGTTCGAGACCCGCCTGGGCAGCAAGACCTCATCTCTACAATAAATCAAAAAAATCAGCCGGGCGTGGTAGCGCATGCCTGTAATTCCGGCTACTCGGAAGACTGAGGCGGAAGGATCGCCGGAGCCCAGCAGGTCGAGGCTGCGGTGGCCGGGAGCGGCCACTGCACTCGTCTGGGCTACAGAGTGAGACTCCAACTCAAAAAAAAAAAAATAAATAAATAAAAAAAATAAAGATGTGGGATACAATTCAGCATTAGGTATATATCATGCAGGTACCCTTGGTGATGAGGTATGCCCCTCCCTCCCTAGTAGTTTCCCTCAACTACCAATCCCATCCCCCCATGAACATTTTTATGTCTTCTTTTCGCTTCAGTAGTGTCAGTATATATATGGATATCAAATTTTAACTATGAATGAACTCAAAATGAAGTACAAAGATATTTAAGACATGGTCCCTGCTTGAAGCAGCTCTTTAGTTACCTGTTTACCCAAACTATCAGTATGTAGAAAATGTAAATTAGCAACTCAGTTACTTCTTGGAATTGGAAATTTTACTGAATTCCTCCTATGTACTGGAAAAAGTTTAGAACATAAGGTAACATGGCATTGTACATAACTATCCTTAAGTTTTCCCAATTATTCTCTAGTCGTACTTCCTTTTAATTCCCCCTCTAGAAAAGCATTTAATCTTAGTTTAATATATATATATATATATACTAGCCAATTTATATATCCTGTACACATCACTGCCTCAGTCTTACATGAAAATCCTCAAACTGCCATATGGCAACTGTCACCAATCACCATACTAATTTTCAAGGGAACGTTACAAAACAAAACCTCAAAAATCTACTTACAAGTCTAGCTCCTAACCAAATTTTATTTGATTTAGATCTTTACCCACGCCTTTTTTTTAGAGTAGCAATACGAAGTAGTAGTGTAGTTTGAAACAACTTCAGTGTTCTATCATATAAATTTCTGTAAATGTAGTCATGATTTTTAACCTAATGGCTTATATTCCATCGTAGTGATATGCCATCATTTACTCTGTAAGTATTTGATAAACGTGTCCAAGCTTTCGTATTACAAGGGGTACTAGAAACAGCATTGTTTCCCAGATAGGAAGTTTGAGGGTGACCCCCTCGTATTTGCATGAGAATAAACGGAATTTACTGGAATTTTAAAAATCCAATGTGCCAGATCCTGTTTGCTATTTACAAAGCATGAGTAGGAGGCAAATGACCCTTTGCGGTTTTTTCCTTTTTGCAAATACTATGCTCTCCACAGGGGCACGGTTCGGAAAGCCCGGTGCGTGGGGCTAACCCAGTCCGCGCAGAGCAGGATTCAGCTCTCAGAGTCGCGGACCGAAGCCGCGAAGTCCCGACGCTGCTTCTTTCTCCACCCTTGGGGTCGGAGCCGACCCTGACATTCCGCCACGGACGGTCCCGGAGAGCGGAACGGTCGGCGCCTCGCGGCCGGAGGCCGGGAAGTGCCGGATCGCAACGGACCGCAGAGCGCGCGCCAGCCTCGGGCCGCTGTGCGCGCCGCCCGAGCGGCCCACCGAGGCGTTGTGCGC